CACCAAAACCCGCTCTATCAGGCCGTGGGAAGGTATTTACCCCATGGGCCACACAGGGGCTGCAGAGCCAAAAAAAAAAAACCACAACCAACTGGGCACAATGGAAGGGTCACCAGGCCAGGAATAAAGTCAGGTTTTACGTGTCTAATTCCCAGCCAAGATTCCCGATTGCCCATCGCTCCATCGTGTCCGTGCAGCTCGGTTCATTGGCGTCTCCCTTCAGCTACGCTCAGTCGCACTGTAACATACAGGGCAGCGATTCTGAGAGAAAACTAATGGATTGAGGCAGCTCTCTCTGCTTAAAAAATCAATCCGGCCCAGACTGTGATTTGGGCCCAAGGTCGCGTGTTAAGGACCTGTGTGAATGGGTGTGGGAATATTAATGGCAACAGGAGTGAGTCCGAATGTGATGAGAACGGAAATATGAGTGTCAGTGTGAAAGTAATAGATAGAGGAATACAGGTGGGAAAGGAAATATTATTATTGACCCTCAGTATTCCATCATGAGGATGGGATTTTTAAAACCCGCAGCCTTCATGACACAACAAATCTTTAAGCATAAAAAGGAGAAAGTTACCATCTACAATTTATTATTAATTATTAGTGGTGCTAGAGTGGGCGGTGGTTGTGGTCCTAGGGCCTAGGGTCTCCAATCATAGGTTAGGATCCCATTGTCCTAGGCACGGGACAAACACAGACCATAAGACCTCTCTCTACCCAACTGAGTTTACAATCCGAATGTAAAAGGGAAGTGGAGTCTGAGTAGAAATAGGAATGTGAACACGAATATGAATATCATTCGTAAATAGTAATCTCCCTTCAGTGCTTCCTGATTCCACCCTAAAGAAAAACTCCCAGACACGCCACTCGCAGCCCACTAATGTCAGGGAGGCTCCACTGCGAAACCTTAACTCTGTCCTCAGACTCCCCCGCCCAAGCTTCTCACACCTCCACCCACAGGTGAGCCCCAGACCTGGTCCAAAGTATCAGCCAGGCTTGCTCAGATCACGTCCCTAGTGCCATGGATCATTTCAATGTAGCCGATCACTGCTGGGAGGGGAAAGGGGCTTCCGTCCCAAATCCCTCCCAGCGCCATGGGAAATCTTCCCTCTCCAGCGGGTGGCCCAGCCCAATGGATCCCTGGGACACGACCCCTCCCCAGACACTGACCACCATGACCGGACGTTTCATGGCCCTTCTGCGCGTGGAACGGGGCTCCAGAGCTGAGTCCCCCCAATCCGCAATATCACCTCACACTAGCCAGGCCCTCAGTTCCTGGGTGAGGAAATACAGTCACTGCAGGGAGCTGGTCATTCCTCCCAGGGGTCCGAAAGTGTCAGGAGGACCCCAGCGCCCTGTTCCCCACGCTGCACAGACACACAGGATGGGACAGTCTGACTCCCGCACCCGGAGCCCTAGGGCGAGTCAGTCAGATCACTGGCAGCAGGAGTGTGTGTCTCTTATAATGCGGGGGCATGCAAATGAGGGAGACAGTTTCCTGTTTAAATCTGTGCCTCTCTCTGCCCAGGCTGCACCCCGAGACACAATCCACAGCCCCTGGGTCTGTGCAGTGACCAGCCAGTCCCCTGAGAATTTTCCCCTCCAGCACGCGGGAAAATGGGATTTTTGCTCCTTTTAATTTTCGCTGTAGCAGCTTTGGAAGGTATTTTCCTCCTCTGAATAACTGGCAGAGTCAGAAGAATATTGTGTTACCGCTGTTTTTATATCGATATTAATGGTCTGTCTTTATTCCCAGGTGTCTGGTCCCAGGTGCAGCTGGTGGAGTCTGGAGGGGATGTGAAAAAGCCCGGAGACTCTCTCCGCCTCTCCTGCAAAGCCTCCGGGTTCACCTTCAGCAGCTACAATATGAACTGGGTCCGACAGGCTCCTGGCAAGGGACTGGAATGGGTTGCTTATATAAACCCCGGTGGGGGTAGTACATACTACCTCAATTCCGTCAAAGGCCGATTCACCATCTCCAGGGATAATTCCAAGAGTGAGCTGTATCTGCAACTGACCGGCCTGAAGCCCGAGGACACCGCCCGCTATTACTGTGCGGGAGACACAGTGAAACGAAACCGATTTGTGATCATACAAAAACCCAGGCTGCGGAATCGCCCTTCTCCCGGCAGCCGCGCGGGGGCAGCAGTGACACACAGACCACTTCGGGCTCAAACAGGAGACCTGGCAACTGGGTCAATGTAACACAAACCTCCCTCAGTTTTAACCCTTCCATTCCCAGGCAATGTGTCTTCCCTTCCTGCCCAAAGCCCCCGCTGGGTGAAGAGATCCCTCGCTTCATCTGTGAACTCCAATCCAGAGTGAGTCCTGTTCTGAGTCGCTCTCCTCTCGGACACCTGGCACGTTGCATCTCCCAGGGCCCGTCTCTGTGTCAGACTCACAGGACAGTGTCTGTCAGTGTAAAGGGACAAGCGCGTTGGGGTTTGCATCACACCCAACGGATGGAGCGAATTGCTCCTGGGGCCAAATCCTCCGCTAGTGTAAAGTCACTGCAACGGCTTCCGCTAGACTCGAGTTACTCCTGATTTACACCAGGGAGGCTCTGGCCCTCTCAGCAAACTGGGATGTTTATCGCATTAATGCAGCGGAAGGTGATTAGTTCATTATAACCGATGTGGGGCCCCTCACCGTGGCGTCTCTGCCCTTCACAAGCGGTTATTGCCTTTATCCCCACAACGCCGCCGGGAGCCCGGGAACTATCACAGCCCCTTGTTCAGAGAGGGGAGACTGAGGCACAGAGAGATGGAGGCTGGGATATGGAAATGGCCCATGCAGAGATCACCCAGCAGCGGAATAAACCCCACTCCACTGAGCCTGGGAATGTGGCACCGCCGGGACTTTCCAAAGCGGCTCGTGGATTGTTTTTCATCCATTTGACATTTGGAAATCACAATCCTGGTGTAAACAGTGCAGCTAAGGATCCTGCCCAGTATAAAGTTCCACAATGTCACCGAGTCACCATGGAGATAACAGACCCCGCCCCTCAGCCCGTGATGACATCACTCAGCCCAGCGCTGGCACTCAGGGCATTGGGGACAGTCACGTGACTAAGGGTTGCAGACAGGAACACGAGGGGATTTAATGGGGTAGCTCAGGGAGAGGCGGCTGCTGAGGGAGAAGCAGAGGCCTGTTGGTGGAGGATTGGGGGGCACTAGGGTCACAGAACGCAGCTCCCACTGAATTAGATACAGGCCAGGACTTTCCTAAGTCTCTCCTAGTGCTAGTTTCAAGGTAGGGATGAAGGTGAGGGCCTGTATTTAAAGTCAGGTTACAATAGTGATCGGCAACCTTTGGCACGCAGCTCGCCAGGGTAAGTGTTATATCCTTGGGGGCAACAGTTTTAGGAAGAAATCACTGGAGTCACAGAGAGCTGTAAACCTTGAAGCAGCCATTTATTGCCACACTCAGAATTTACCAACAGCCAGCCAAAACTGGCTGGGCTATCCCCTAATAATCTATCTCAGTTGCCATAGCAACACAAGATTCTATTACCACGACAACCAAATACACAACATTTTCCTCCCCCTTAATACGAATGTCCCCACAATAAAACAAACACTAAACTAGAGAAGGAGAGTAGACTGCCTCCATTCCCGGCTGAACCCCGGGGATTATTTTGCCCCATAACTGCGGGTTGGCCCTAGCTAAAGATCCAGCTGACGAGGAGGCCTTCAGTCTCTAGGTGGATCACGGTGGACTTCTGGTGTTGTTGCACCTGAAAGTGTCTTGCGCGCGGGCCTGACAATGGGCTCAGTGATTATAGGGTGAATGTGGAGGATGGGGCATCAGCTCGTGCTGGGCAGAGGGGTATCTCTGCCGCTGGCAGTAATGGAGGGAAAAAGTCAGGAACAGGTGACTCTTGATTCAGTGTCTCGCCGGAAGTGGTGAAATCAGGCAACTCAACTGAAGATGTGTCCTGAGGACTGGAATGACCTGGCAGAAGCTGATCTACATGTCGCCACCAGGTGAGATCCTCTGCAATCCGGACTGTGTAGGAAACAGGTCCCCTTTGAGCGATGACAGTGGCAGGGACCCATTTAGCTCCAGCAGTATAATTCCGAGCCAAAATCGTCTGTCCTGGGCTAAAGGTTCGGTCTTTTGCTCTGAGTGCACGCCTGATGACTTGATCTTGCTGCTGATGTTGCATACTTTTTCTGGGTTCAGAAGGTTTCAGCAGATCAAAGCATTGGTGGATGGATGATATGGTGCTGAAGTGATGTGGTGTATCCCATTTGCCTTCATAAAATTTTGAAACTCCTGAGAGACGAACTGCGGTCCGTTGTCACTCACAAGTTGTTCTGGCAGACTGAAATGACTAAAGAGTCCTCATAATTATTGGATAGTACTCTCTGCAGTAGTGGACTGCATTATAGAGACTTCTGGCCATTTAGAATGGGCATCTACCACCACCAAGAACATGCTTCCTTCAAGGGGGAGAGCGAAGTCAACATGAATACGTTGCCACGGGTTTTCAGGCCAGACCATGGATGTAGGGGTGCCCACTGGGGTGCATTCCTCACACCCTGACATGACATACAAGCTCTTGCCTTCTCTTCAATAGGACTGTCCAATCCAGGCCACCAAAAATAGCTTTGTGCAATTTCCTTCATGAGCACTATTCCACAGTGACCGGAATGGAGCTGTTCTAACATCTGTGATCTCAGTGGTAGTGGGATAATGACATGTCTCCCCCACAACAAACAACCAGATTGGATTGATAACTCCATCCTCCTGGACATGTAGGTAACAAGGTCGGGTGAGACCAGAGAGGTTCGTCGAGATGTTCCATGCATCACCAGGTCCATAACCTGGGACAATATTGTGTCAACTCGAGTTGCCTTCTTTATCTGAGTAGAAGTGATGGGTGTATTCTCTACTTGTTCAAAGTAAAAGATTTCCTTGTGGGCAATATCTGCATGGTTGACTGGCAAAGGCCATCCGCATTGCCGTGCAGAGTGGATTTCCGATATTTGATTTCATATGTGTGCGCAGAAAGCAACAATGTCCACCGTTGCATAATGACTAGCGGCTAATGGGGGAATGCCTGTGTGGGATCCAAAAATTTAAGTCAGGGGTCGATGGTCTGTGAGAAGAGTAAACTTCCATCCGAACAGGTACTGATGAAACTTCTGAATTCCGAAAATGATTCCCAATGCCTCACGTTTGATTTGGGCATAGTTAGTTTCTGCTTTGCTTAGAGTGCGTGAAGCAAAAGCAATAGGTCTCTCTTCTCCTGAAGGCATAATGTGCGACACGACTGCTCCCACTCCATAAGGGGACGCATCGCAGGCCAACTGTAGGGGTAAGGATGGATCAAAGTGCGTCAGAACTTCAGAATTTAGCAATTCATCCTTAGCTTTGTTAAATGCAACATCACAGGCTTCAGTCCACTTCCAGGCCTTGTTCTGCCCACGGAATTCGTGAAGTGGTTTTAGCAGTGTGGCTGACTGTGAGATGAACTTTCCATAATAGTTCAATAGTCCTAGAAACGAGCGAAGCTGGCTAACATTTCGAGGAGGGGGAGCCTCCACAATGGCCTTAACTTTGGCAGGGCCCTTATGAAGACCTGTAGCCTCAATGATGTGTCCCAAATATTCAACAAAGGGCTGGAAGAATTCACAATTGTCTTTGCGGACTCGTAGGCCGTACTCTTCCAGTCTTTGTAGGGTAGCCTCTAAATTCTTTAGGTGATCCTTCTCATTCCTTCCAGTGACACGGATGTCATCCAGATAGCACTGGACTCCTGGCAAGCCACACAAGATCTGGTCCATAGCCCTCTAGAACAGGGCGGGAGCAGACATTATTCCGAAGGGTAGGCGACAGTATCGATAAAGCCCCTTATGAGTCACAATCGTCAACAGCTCTTGAGACTTTTCATCAACGTGCATCTGTAAATACGCTTGACTCAGATCAATCTTACTGAACTTTTGTCCCCCAGCCAGGCCCGCAAAGAGGTCATCGATGCGGGGAAGTGGGTATTGCTCTGCACACAACACTGGGTTGACAGTGACTTTAAAATCACCCCAAATCTGGAGGGAGCCATCTTTCTTCACTATTGGAATGATAGGAGTTGCCCATGGACTATGGGTAACTGGTATTAGGATTCCATTTGTGACCAGGCGCTCCAGGTCCACTTCAGCCTGATGGCATATGGCACAGTTCTGGCTTTCAGATATTTTGGGTGACTGTCAGGTTTAATGTTCAATGTCACAGTGATTCCCTTCATACTTCCCAGATCCTCTCCAAAAACAGCAGCATGTTTCCTTAGTACAGTGGTCAGACCGGTTTCTTCTTTAGTCACTCGGTGCACTTCTGCCCAATTCACCTGGATCTTCCCAAGCCAAGACCTATCCATTAAGGCTGGGTAATTACCTCTCACCACAAACAGCGGCAATTTAACAGCCTGTCCATTGAGCTCCACCTTAACATCAGTAGTGCCCAACATGGGCACAGCTTCTCCCGTATATGTCTTCAGCACTGTTTTTGTTGCTTTAAGTGGAAGATGCTGTAGGTTTTCTTCATACACAGTCTCTGAGACCAGCGAAACGGCTGCACCGGTGTCCAGTTCCATGCGTATAGGTTTGCCGTCCAACAACAGGGTTACCCAGTATTCATCTGAGCCCACTGCCAAAGACAAAACGTGGAGTGGCACTTCTTCTTGTGAGGAGGTATCTCCTTGGTCATCCGGGGTCTGCTCTAGGGTATACAGATTTCCCTTTTTGGTCGCTTTTGTGGAACCTATATCTTTCAGCAATTACCAGTGGTTTTGGAGAAAAATGGGACCTCAGGATTTCCACAATGTCGTTGTAAGATTTAGTCTCTGGCTTAACAGGGTGGAGTAAGCTGCGTAGCAGGGAGTAGGTCTTTGCCCCTACAACACGTAAGAATATTGGCGCCTTCTTCTCTTCTGTAATGTCATTTGCAATAATAAAAAGCTCAAAACGCTCAGTATATACAGGCCATTGCACTACAGTCTCCTCAAAAGGGTCCAGTGTCCCTGTAAGTGTAGCCATGGTTTTAGTTTCAGTTTGTACAGTCAGTGCAAACAAATCTACTTCTCACCCCCTTCCAGCAGCAAAAAAGATTTTTTTTTTCTGTACCTTAACTTCTACTTCCTTCTGTTGCTGGGGCAGCACAGAGATCCCATCCTCGTCGCCACGTTGTTATCTCCTTGGGGGCAACAGTTTTAGGAAGAAATCACTGGAGTCACAGAGAGCTGTAAACCTTGGAGCAGCCATTTATTGCCACACTCAGAACTAATCAACAGCCAGCCAAAACTGGCTGGCCTATCCCCTAATAATCTATCTCAGTTGCCATAGCAACACAAGATTCCATTACCACGACAACCAAATACACAACAGTAAGCACCCTGGTGGGCCGGGTCGGTTTGTTTCCCTGCCGCATAGGCAGGTTCGGCCGATCGCTGCTCCCACTGGCCACGGTTCGCCGCTGCAGGCCAATGGGGGTGGCGGGAAGCAGCGGCCAGCACGGCCCTCAGCCCACGCCGCTTCCTGCAGCTCCCATTAGCCTGGAGCAGCAACCCGCGGCCAGTGGGAGCCGTGATCGGCCGAACCTGCCGATGCGGCAGGCCTGCCAGCGTGCATACCCTGGCGAGCTGCGTGCCAAAGGTTGCCAATCCCTGGGTTAGAATTTACATTCAGGGTAAGAACTGCATTCTAGGGTAAAGTCAGGATTTAGTGTTCTAAGTAAGGTATTCATGTAGTTTTCTGGTTAAGACACATATGAAGGTGGGGTTTATCCTCAGGCTCACGGTTAGGTGTGGGAGCTAGAAAAGGGATAACGAAGATGCCAGTTGGTCTCCTTATGGTCAAGTAGGAAGCCCCGACTGAGGCAAGGGAGGTACCACAGAGAGAAAGTGCCGCCTCTTCTCTCAGACGCACACAAAGAAACTGAGTCCGTGCTAGGAAATGCTGGGTGTCTCTTATATGGAGGGGGATATGCAAATGAGGGTGAGAGTTTCTTCTTTAAATCTGCCCCTCTCTCTGTCCAGGCTGCATCTGGAGAGACAATCTGCAGACCCTGGTCTGTGCAGTTACCAGCCAACCCCCCTGAGAACTTTCCCCTCCAGCCCCAGGGAAAATGAAGCTTTGGTTGTACCTCGTCCTCATTGCAGCATCTCTGGAAGGTAAATGCTCCCTTTCCATGGATTGGATGTATCGGGGAGATGGGGAATTATTGTACTATTGCCCGAGATACTCATGTTCCCATAATTAATTGTTATTCCCAGGTGCCCGGTCCCAAATCCAGCTGGTGGAGTCCGGAGGGGATGTGAAAAAGCCCGGAGACTCTCTCCGCCTCTCCTGCAAAGCCTCCGGGTTCACCTTCAGCAGCTATGAGATGAGCTGGATCCGCCAGGCTCCCGGGAAAGGACTGGAGTGGATCGCCTACATTTACAGCACCAGCATATACTACAGTGACTCGGTAAAAGGGCGATTCACCATCTCCAGAGATAACCCCAACAGCCTGTTGTACCTGCAAATGACCGGCCTGAAGCCCGAGGACACCGCCCGGTATTACTGTGCGAGAGACACAGTGAGGGGAATCCCGTCAGGGCTCATACAAAAACCCAAGTGGCAGAACCGAACTTCTCCCATGCGCCGCATGGGGGCAGCACTTCCACAAGCAATCCAGCACTGGGCACAGGAACGAGATCTACAACCAGAGCGAAAAACAAATCAGTCCTCAGGTTTCAGAGCTCAATAGCCATCTATGGAATCATAGAACCCTGGGACTGGAAGGGACCTCGAGAGGTCATCTAGTCCCGTCCCCTGCACTCATGGCAGGATTCAGTGTTATCTAGACCATCCCTGACAGGTGTGTGTCCAACCTGCTCTTAAAAATCTTCAGGGACAGAGATTCCACAACCTCCCTGGGAAATTTATTCCAGTGCTTAACAATCCTAACAGTTAAGAAGTTTTTCCTAATGTAAAACCTCCCTTGATGCAATTTAAGCCTATTGCTTCTTGTCCTATCCTCAGAGGTTAAAGAGAATAATTTGTCACCCTCCTCCTTGTAATCGTCCTTTTATGTACTTGCAAACTGTTATCACGTCCCCCTCAGTTTCTCTTCTCCAGACTAAACGAACTCAGTTTTTTCAAACTTCCCTCATAGGTCATGTTTTCTAGACTTTTAATTATTTTCATTGCTCTTCTCTGAACTTTTTCTAATTTGTCCACCTCTTTCCTGAAATGTGGCACCCAGAGCTGGACACAATATTTCAGTTGAGGCCTAATCAGCATGGAGAAGGGTGGGAGAAATAAGTGGCTTCCTTACAACACTCCTGCTAATACATCCCAGAGTTATGTTCACTTTATTTTAACAGCTGGGAAGGGTATATGGGGTAAACGATCTGCGGTGTCAGAGCTGGGAAGGAGGATATGGTGTAAATGCTCTGTGGTGTCAGAGTTGGGTAGGTGGATATGGTGTAAACGCTCTGCAGTGTCAGAGCTGGGAAAGGGACATGGGGTAAATGCTCTGCGGTGTCAGAGCTGGGAAGGTGGACATGGGGTACAGGCTCTGCGGTGTCAGAGCTGGGAATGGAACACTGGGAAACAGACTCTGCCGGTGTGTAGAGCTTTGGACATGTTTGCTGGGAACTAACCCCAATAAACTGCATTGTCTGCACTTTGTACTTCTGGTCTTTTACCGCTTGCTGTCTGCATGACAAGAACCAGGGAAGTGGGAGGGTGAAGGGAAAGCCCTCTAACACCGTCTAGGTTGTATTTCCCTAGTTTATAAGAAAGTTAGGTGAGATAGTGTCCAAAATCTTACTAAAGTCAAGATATACCAAGTCTACCGCTTCCCCACTATCCACAAGGCTTGTTACCCTGTCAAAGAAACATATTCAGTGGGTTTGACATGATTTGTTCTTGACAGATTCATACTGACTGTTACTTATCACCTTATTATTTCTAGGTGTTTGCAAATTGATTCCTTAATTATTTGCTCCCTTATCTTTCTGGGTACTGAGGTTAATCTGACTGGTCTGTAATTCCCCGAGTTGTCCTTATTTCCCTTTTTATATGAACATGTGTCCATAACAACTGGGGCTGCTGGAATATTCAGACATTTGAATTTGGCATTTATCAGACACCAACGTGAAAATGCACCATGCAGAAGAGGATTATTTCGGGAATCAATTATAATAACTGGTGTAATAACTGGGACTTGGATTTTCAAAGGTGCCTAAATGTGCCAGGTGTCAACCCCCTATTGTGGTTTGCTTAGAATCGGGTACCAATGTCTCAGCTTCCTTTGAAAAATCCCCCAATGCCACTATCGATCTAACACTCTTGAAAGGAGACATCAGGTTCCAAACTCCTCTGGCCTCAATACAAAAACCAAATTTCCCATGATGCTGCCCTGCTCACTAGCGAAATAGTTTTCTCTGTAAAGTCCTGATCCACAATCTGCTAAAGCCAAAGGTGGGTGTTTCCATTCCCTTCAACAGATGGTAGCTCAGCCCTTACACCTGGAGGGATGGGAGGAGATTCAAGGGAGCTCTTTGTGCACCAGTATGGTCAGGATGGCCCCGCACTCGCTGGGCGCTGCCCAGACACAGAGTGAGTACCAGTCCGACTCCCTCTCCTAGAGCGACCGGCCAAATAACTCCGAACATTCAGGGAAGGGGTTTGTTGTCTCTCCTATAAGCAGTGGGATATGCAAATAAGGGTGTCAGTTTCCTTCTCTCTCCCCTCTGCCCAGGCTGCACCTGGAGACACAATCCACAGCCCCCTGGTCCTGTGCACTTACCAGCCAACCCCCCTGAGAACTTTCCCCGCCAACACCAGGGGCAATGAGGCTTTGGTTACATCTCGTTCTCATTGCAGGAGCTCTGGAAGGTATTTTCTTCCTTTCACTGTATTAGGGAGGTGGGGGATTATTATGCTATTCCCTAGATACTAATGTTCCCCGTAACACAACTTTATTCACAGGTGTCCAGTCCCAGGTGCTGGTGGAGTCCGGAGGGGATGTGAAAAAGCCCGGAGACTCTCTCCGCCTCTCCTGCAAATCCTCAGGGTTCACCTTTGGAGACCACTGGATGAGCTGGGTCCATCAGGCTCCTGGTAAGGGCCTGGAGTGGGTCACAGCTATAAGCTACTGGGCCGGCAGTACTGTATGTTACACCAGCTCGGTCCAGGTCCGATTCACCATCTCTAGAGACAATCCCAACAACCTGCTGTATCTGGAAATGACCGGCCTGAAGCCCGAGGACACCACCCGGTATCACTGTGCGGGAGACACAATGAAGGGAAGCCACTGTGAGCTCAGACAAAAACCTCCCGTTGCGGTCAGTAGGGAAAGTCGCAGCTGGTGAGACCCTGACACTCCGGGCCCTGGAAACTCAAAAGAGAAAGCAACGTGTTCATTGCATGGTGTCCTGCTCTGGCCAAATACAGCGTCACACAGTACACAGATCCAAGGGCCAGTCACCACAGGACTGAAAGGGACTGTACCTGGACCTTTCCCTCCTAATTTTTAATACATTTATGGTAAATGTTATGTGCAATAAAGACTCCCTTCCTCACCCCTTTAAAATCAGGGGGCATGAAACGCAATAAACAAAACCCCAAACCCTGTCATTCATAACAAGGCACCGGGCTACCCGCAATGTTGCTATCGATCATTGTGTATTTCTGTACTATTTGCTTTCAGGTATTAAACAACTTACGTAACCAATCGAGTCCCTGCCGTGCCGTGCCCTGCACACTGTCTCACGTCTATAGGACTCATCAAATACCGCCCATCCATCCGGTCTGAGAATCTAGGCCTATGTCACATAATTGGTCTGTCATCCATCCAACTTCCTCTCTCAGTACAATCCAATTAACCAACCTGTATTTAAACAGGAACCCCCCTGGACAGGGAGTTGCAGGTATATTTCACCCAGAGATTTTAGGAGTTGAACGGGGCAATCAACAGGTGCCCTAGGTAGATGGGCTCACTCTATCCAGGGCACAATGGGTATCTCCTCAGTACTAGCTGTTGACATTTTACCAGATGATGTTGCTGGAGAAATTCCATAGATCAGATTTGTCCAAAGAAAGGACTAAATGCAGGCTTTGTCTCTCAGAAATGTGTGAGCTTAATGACATATCCAAGGTAATGTGTTTTCTATCTAATGTTATTAAAGACCTGAGTGGATCTATCTATCTGTCTATTCACACCCATCACTCTCTTGGTGATCGACACTTGCCTGGTGTCAGGGGACGGAGTCTGCCACCTTCAGAGAGAGAAATGCATTTTGGGGCTGATCCAATTGCCATTGCAATCGATTCTGAAAACTTTCTCTGACTTTCTGGAGCTTTGGCCAAGCCCGACAGAAGGACAATCATTCTGGGATCAGAGCCTCACAGGTGTCAATTCTGGAAGCTCCACGGATCCCAAGGCTGCTACCCCGACTGACGATAGCTGGTAGTCTGGCCCATTCATTCAAACAGATTAAAATATCGGTAACACACGGGCTATAGCTAGGCCCTCTCAGAGCTCCAGAGAGGCCCCGGCCACTTCCAGCTTTTGAGGCCCCGAGCCAGAATAAAAATAAAAAATGACTACCCATGAAAACAAAATAAGGCACCAAAAAGAGAGTGAGACATAATTTGATTATTTTTTTTTTATTTAACCAATGCTTTTCAAGCCTTTTTCTGTGCAAATGCACTAATTATTGATGGAAAATCTAGCTTTTGTGCAATGTCACAGTTGATATTAAGCATGGCGAGCCCATCCAAATACTATTGTCCCATAGTTGAACAGTGATAGTTCTTTACCTGCTTCAACACATTGAAGGTGTGTTCAACTGAAGCCACCGATGCAGGGAAACTGATACAAAATACGCAACATGTAGTCAACCATATTTGAAATGTTCTTCTGTAAATAAGTGGCATATCCACAGTTTAAAATGTTCCATTGTTCAGAAGTAGCCTTTACAACTTGAAATGCTCTACTGTAAGTATGTAGCCTATCCACACTTGAAATCTTCTCCTGTGAACCTGTACACAAATGCGGAATGGTACACAAATGCTGAAAAGACTTAAAATGAAGGAATACTAATTAAGAAAACAAAATGAAACAATCACACTGGTTATTATTCTTATCACTGAATCAAAACTCAAGCACGCAAGCTATAATATAACAGGCTGAACTGTAGACAAAAGGATGACATATATATAGTAAACACAGACATGGATACAGACAGAGGAGTATTGTCCAAAAATTTCAAACATGTATCCTCACGAAACTCACTGTACAAGATTGTCCTCACAAATTTTCACCTTGAATCTGGGCCTATAGACCACGAAAGCCTACGATGATGGCCAAGCTACGGAGCTAGGGCTCAACCAACCAACCTGTCACCTCTTTTAGCCACCATATGAAGATAATAATGAGGAATTCTCACACATAAATTATTCCTTAGTCAACTAGACATAAAACTATAAAGAAACTAAAACAGGGATGGGCAAACTACAGCTGCGGGCCGGATCCGGCCCCTCAGGGCTTTGTATCTGGCCTGCGGGATTGCCCCCACCTCCCCGCTGTGGGCCCCACAGCCTCTCAGAAGAAGCTGGCACCACATCCCTGCGGCCCCTGAGGAGGGGGGCAGAGGGCTCTGTGCATTGCCCTTGCCTCCAGGTTCCCCCTCTCCCACCACAGCTCCCATTGGCTGGGAACGGGGAACAGCAGCCAATGGGAACTTTGGGGAAGGTACCTGGAGCATCACAAGGGCAGAGCCCACAGAGCCCTCCGCTCCCTCCTCCCCCGGGGCCGCAGCGCTTCCTGGAGCGGCACAGGGCCAGGGATAGGACAGGAGG